TTTTGGGCAATTTAGTTCAATGAATCGAGCTGGGTTTGATGAAACCTATTTGCTGGGTTACATCGAACCTAGATCTGGGTTCTATCGAACATGGAAGGAAGAAAAACAGTAACCGATGGGCAAAGATGGTGATGTGGGACCCATTTAGATGTATTTGGCACGATTTTGCCAGGTAACATATGACATGGCACATGTCATCACTTTTTTAAGTTTTGCTCTCTACGTCATCAAAAAAAAAAAATGCCACCTAAGTAGGGTTAACGGCCCAAATTAACAGAAGGACTAACGGAGTGCATTTTATATAGTTGATGGATCAAAAAAGTGCAAAAAATTGTTGAGGGACCAAAAATGTTCATTTCTTAAAGTTAAGGGACCAAATTAAGCATTTAACCATTTTTATAATTTTCAATTTGTATTTATGAATAAATTTTATTTTTTTAATAAAAATTAATTTATATAAAAAATTATAAAAATAGATTTTATTTTTAAACATAAATGTCACAAAAAATAATATATTTAAATAATTGATAAAATTAAAATTAATTTATATATATTTTATATATTTTTTTAAACAATGTGATATCTTTTTTTCAAAGAAAGAGGAATGGAGGACTTAAGACTTGATCCCAAATTTTTTAGTTCTAAACACAGCCCGCAAGGGAGTGATTATTGAACCACCGAGTGTTGGATTAAATTTTTTTTATATAATTTAATAATAAAACACATAATAAATAAATCCTTAACATCTTCTTAAAAAACTCTTTAAATTTATAAAGTAAATTTCCCAAGTAATGCCGTGTGCCTTCACCCATCACTAATATATATATATTTTAAAATCAAATCACCTTTTCTGGAAGATGGTAGTAGTGTATGATTATTATTAAGTGCATTCACTTTCCAAATAAAAAAGAGGAAGTTTTTCCACGAAGATGAGAGAAACCTCATTTTAAGGATTTCGTTGGTCCTATAATATCTGTTTCTGTTTTTTCTTTTTCTTTTTTTTTTTACCATGCATACCAAATAAAAATGATAATTAGTGATTTTTTTGTCAACAATAATTACTGTAAATAATTTGTATTTTTTTAATTTTATTCTTAATTACTTACTAAGAAAAGTATGAAAGAAAGAGGTTATTTTTAATATAAAAATATAAATTTGAGATAAAAATAATAATATAAAACAGACTGAGATACGGAAGGAACTTGTAGTTGCAGAAGACTGGGAGATACTCCGAATCTCGAGTCTTCACTTCGGCTATCTTGCAAGGCCCCGAGGTTGGTTCTCGGGGTAGACACTCCGATATTTAAGTCAGTAATAGTTAGAGCTACCAGTTATCAAGCAAGAGTAAAAACTGAGTTTGAGGTTGATTTCCGATACCTTTTAGAGGTGGATCCTGAGGGGTATTTATAGGCCTTCAGGGGTGTCCACGTGTTGATCCTTCCAAGAAACCCGGGCGACGCGTGTCAAACATCACAGATACTTCTCATGAGGGGTTTGCATGTGTACAGAATTACTACGGAGCAAGAGCAGAGGGGACGAACTCGAATCCGACTGAACTCATCATCCTTCAATCAAATCGAGGTAGCTAGATGTCGGGGGCCACTCCGGATGTCAGAGGTTGCGCGTCTCAGGCAGCTATGGAGTACACGACTTCGGACTAACAACATGCCTCATCTGTGACCTCTGACATCCTATGTGCTTCTGATATCTCATGACCTTTATTTACCCACATACCTCTGATATCTCATGACCTCTGTCTATCTACATACTTCTGTCTATGCCCACTACAGAACCAAAAAGCAAAATTCCACGAGGCTAACATGGCTGCATATGCCGTTGCAAAAAAAGGGGGGTTTTCGCTGCTCATGGTTTAAATATTTTGATCAATAATTTAACTAATTCAATGATGATATTTTTTTGTTAAAAATAAAAAATTTTAAATTCAAATAGTATGATATATAAGTAAAATAAAATAAAAAATAATTATTTTTTATTATATAATTAAAATTTAAAAAATATTTTATATGCAATCCACCGGAGGTGAGTCTTTTGTGTACACGGTAGATTATGTAGGGGTGAGCTACCCGGGAGAAAGTCTGCTGTATCCCCGGAATACAGCAACGTGGTATCCCAACCTAATGGGAAAACACCACATCAACAATTTTTTCAGACTTCATCAATCTCAAACCCAAAAAACAACTGATGTGGTGTTTTCCCATTGGGTTGGGATACCACGTTTGCTGTATCCCGGGGATACAGTAGACTTTCTCAGCTACCCAGACCTTAAGTTCTATTCTATTTTATGCCACTTTATAGTGTCTTTATCCGAAAAAAAGAAAAAGAAAAAGAGGTTTGTAAAAAAATTGCCAACAAATTTTGATTAAAGCATTATGAACTGTGTAAACTAGTCTATTGGTTGGTAC